TTAGAAAAGTTTCTAAGATCACAATGGCAAGCAGTGCGGGAGCCAGAAAAAAACAATTTCAAGTGCATGAGGAAGACAACGCCGCCAACGCCAATGCCAACGCCAAAAAGACTGTAAAGAATAACAGACCGGCGTAGCAGTTACAAACCGTGAGTAGAAATTGTTAAAAATCCAATCGAAAGAAACAGGGCTAGATAAGAGCCAACGTTAAACAATCAAATAAATATATTAAACATTCGGCAGAACCAGAAAACAGAAGGCACAGTCCCAGGATCCTAGCCAGATCAGGCACTTCAAATAAAGATAAGGTAAAGAAATCTTTATTTTAGAAACTTAGAAGAGTTTCCAAGATATATTTTTTGTCTTATGTTACGATCTTTTTTATTGTTTTATTTCAGGAAAACCAAATTCCCGGACAAACAAACAACTCGAAAAAAAAATACAAACCATATAAACAATACTCGGCAGAGGTCTTAAAAAAAGCGATAGAAGACCTCAAAAGTTAGTGAGTTTTGTTTTCGGATAATATCGCCCGTTACTCCTTTATTGTAGCTTTCCATCGATGAAACGATCAGTGGCGATTTCGTTTTTGTTAAACGTTACATGATATGTATTATGTATGTTGTTAATCTCGCCAATAAAATGCATTGCCTTTTAATAAAATCAATGGACCAGCGCGATTTATTTCTCTCTCTCTCTCTCTTTCTCTCTCTCTCTCTCTCTCTCTCTCTCTCTCTCTCTCTCTCTCCCTCTCTCTCTCTCACAAGAGCTCGCCATTTCGGTGCTCGAACATTCTACCGCCATTTCGGTGCTCGAACATTCTACCGCCTTTTCGGTGTTCGAATATTCTACCGCCATTTCGGTGTTCGAATATTCTACCGCCATTTCGGAGTGCTTTGCCGCGAATAAACTGTAATCGCCAATTATGGATCGGCAACGTCTCGAAAAGATGTCATACGATGAGCTGCAAGAGGAGGCTCGGCATTATGGATTAAATCCACCAAATGATGCATCCAGATGCATTGATCTGATAATATCGCATTTGGAAAGAACCGGTCCAATTAATCTTTTCAATCGGCAAGATAAAACGCGTAATTCAGTGAATCGCATTACAAGTGTCGCGCAGATGACAAGCACTGCATCTCCGAGCAGTTCAGATTTATCACAAATCTGTGTGTTAATGGCAAAACAGCAAGAGATACAACAAGAACAACTGCGAAACCAGCAGGAGTTTCAGCGAGAGCAAGCTCGTAATCAGCAGGAGTTTCAGCGAGAGCAAGCTCGTAATCAACAAGAGCAACAGCGTCAGAGCCAAATGCTGATGCAACAAATGTTCGAATTTATGAATCGTAGTGATTCTCAAAATTGTATTCGCCCGCTGACAAATGAAGACAATAATCTGCCAACGGATAAAGGTACATCGTTGACACGTCGTCCCACAATTTCTTCGGTGGCAACGGCTCACGCAGTTAAAATGTTAGTTGCGCAAATCCCAGAGTTTGCCGCGTCCGAAGAGGACAAAGTGGAATTATGGATTCAGACAGCGGAACGTATCGCTCAGATCCATGGAGTAACGGAGGATATTTTACTTTTGGCAGCATCTGGAAGACTGATTAAAAGTGCAAGAAGATGGTTTGACTTGAAGCAAATATTTAAAGACGCCATCGTACGACGTTTCAAACGTAAAATCCTATTTCACGTAGCAAATGCAAAAGGTAGAAGCAAGAAGATGGATTTTTCATAAGGAATCTTTTCAAGATTATGCTATGGACAAGTTGGTCTTGATGAAGAATTTAAATTTACCAGACGAGGATGTTATTCATCTACTAATCAATAGAGTTGGGAGCCGTTCGTTAAGAGAAGCAGCAGCCGTACTTCAATGTAAGTTCGTTGACGAATTTTTAGAAGAGATGCATCGGATTACGTCGGTGTCTGCTGATCCGGTTCGCAAGACTGCTCATCAAGAAGTCAAGTAAAAGTAATTTACAGTTCAGAAGTGGGATTCAAATCCACTGTTTAGAAACTTGTGTAAACTTTTAGGTTTAAGGGGGGATTCTGGTTTAGGAGGCTAAAAAAAAGGAGATTTTTATGAATTTTTTTCATTGACAATAATGCAGTTGAGGTTTCTAAACCTTTTACAATATTTAACTGCTTATTTGAAGAGGTAAAAGAAATTTTTATATTGTAAAATAATTGCAAAATGGCGCCATGGTGTATCTCTAATCGGAGCGCCTCGCCAACATCTGCGGGAGAAATGTAGCCCGCAATTTTGATCTGAGACAAAAAAACGAAAAAGATTATTAATTTTTATATATTTTTATTCTATATGAACCAACAACATGTTTAAAAAACTGAAAAATACAAATTTTCTTAGCACTTGAACAAAAACATGAAATTTTTGAGAAAAAATATCCTCCGTTTTTATGCAATAACAATTATTTAAATTAATATTTTTACCAAAGTTTGAGGTTCACATAGAATGGTTGTTTATTCTTTATCTAACGCCTTTTGAATCAAGTCGATTGATCAATTAATTTTTTCTCTATCTTTCCCGCAGATTGTTGGCGAGGCGCTCTGATTAAAGATACACCACGGCGCCATTTTGCAATTATTTTACAATATAAAATTTTTTTTTACCTCTTCAAATAAGCAGTTAAATATTGTAAAAGGTTTAGAAACCTCAACTGCATTATTGTCAATAAAAAAAATTCATAAAAATCTCCTTTTTTTTAGCCTCCTAAACCAGAATCCCCCCTTAAACGTCTTAACGCTTCAGGGGACGTGTCCCAGAGCGTATAATAAATGACGATTAATCAATCAATCAATCACAAGTATATCTTTATAATGAAAGAAAAACTCTATATCTTTTACGGGAATTATTCTTCCTACCTATCTCGAATGTTTTTTAATTGCAAAAGGAATAGTAATTACAATTTAGTTGGAAACGTGTCACAATAATTATAATTAAAAAAATAATATATTTTATTTATATAAATTTGATCTAATATATTTATATAAATTTGATCTAATTCATGTACCCGAGATGATAATCCTACGCCTTAATAACGATATCTTAGACGAAATGGATGAATTGTGTCTCTTTCATATTTTTAGCGGTTTCGATCATATTTCTCATGGATTCCTTATGTAACATCGAGCGATTTTTTTTCCTCATGCTTCTCGCGTCTAGATGCGCAAATCCGATCTTGTTTACCTCGAGAACGAGCTCGCGTTATCCGATTTCTATCCCTATCCGCATCTGATATTTTATCGACTTCTCGAATTTCAACGTCCATGGCTCCTCGCGTTAGCAATACCTGGCAAGTTCATTTGCGAATCGGTGCTGGACAGGATTGCTCTGTCAGTAAGAAATTCGCAATCTCTCTTTCTCTTTCTCTGAAATTATATCAAACACTCGACACAACGTGTTTATAATGGAAATTCAAGGGAAAACTGTGCTCATCACCGGCGGAGCCAACGGCATCGGCTATTGCACCGCTCGAGAATTACTTCGAAACGGAGCAAAGGTAATTCAACAAAATCAAAGTGCATGAAATAATGCGGTACAATTCATAAATACTTTCCACAAATTACTGTATATCACACGTTTTTGACATTAATAAAAATCGTATAAGCAGACGCAACGAAATTAAGCATAAATGAAAGATGAGTGATATTTTAATGAGGATTATACATTTTATCTTAATAATTGCGCACTTTGCAGGCCGTTGTAATCATAGATTTGCCCGATTCGAATGGCGAAAATGCTGTTGCGGAATTGGAGAAGGAATTCGGCGCGAATCATGCTATTTTCCTCGTTGGAAACGTGGCGAACGCCGAGGAACTTACGGGTAGGAATCGTAATAATTGATTGCTAAACGTATCAACTGTGCAATCAAGAATATAATTTTGATCATCTGTTAGTCAGGTCATCGAGCAATATGTAATAATATTCATATTATAAAAAAAAATTATTTGGCTTGAAATTTATACTCTAATTTGCAAAATACGTAATAGTCTATCGATCTAACAAGTGTATTTCGGGAAAGAAAGGAGGAGAAAAATTATATTTCTAATTGAATTTATTTATTAATTAAGTAATTTTAGTGAAACATTTTTTTCGACAAACAAGAGCTTTCTTTATACACTTATAATATACAATTTGTGCAGCTTGTTTCGAAAAGGCAATAGAGTCATTCGGCACGCTGGACATTGTTATCAATAATGCTGGAATCATGAACGACGCGGAATGGGAGCCGATGGTTGATATTAATTATGTAAGTAACAAAGGATCAATTTGTTATTCCTACCGAAGATTCGTTGCTTTCGAATGCTCTTATCGTTTTATCGTATTTATAATCAGAAAGGGGTTGTACGTGGCACGATATTAGGTCTGAATCATATGGGGAAGCACAAGGGCGGAAAAGGTGGTATTATCGTCAATATGTCTTCTATAATCGGCTTGCAAGGCAATCCGCTCGCGCCTATTTACGCCGGAACGAGTTTCGCCGTCGTCGGATTCACTTCATCGTTACAGGTAAAAATGCGATTTTAATAAATAAATAGTAAATGCAGGTTCTATATTCCAAATTTAAAATCTATCTACTTGGTCATTTCATACCAAATTATTTAAACTATAATTACTAAAGGTGTTGTAATCGACCCAACTGGCCAAATTTATTGATCAAAAAACGCTACGTTTCGACCGAGGATCCCAAATTTGGCCAGTTGGGTCGATTACAACACCTTTAGTAATTTTAATTATTTACTGGCGACTCAAACTCTCTTGTTCTGTTATTTAAACTATGTTATCGTCGTCTTATCTTATATATGCTAGGATGTTTAAAATTACGCGTTTATTAATATTTTTGCATACTTCCAGACTTTCTACGAAAAAACAGGCGTACGAGTATTGATAATATGTCCTGGTCTTACTACCACTGGCATGGCTTCGAAATACATGTCAAGCAAAGTCTACGCGATGGATCTCCTCGACGACGAGACCGCTGCCAAGGAGATGACAACGATGGAGAGTCAATCGTAGGTTGCAAATACTGTTTCGTTTTGTTATGCAATAAAAATTATTTTTGTACTAAAAAATTACAAAAAATAGAATAAACTATAATAAATCTTAAAATAATACAGAAATCATACATTAATATCTGCATAGAAATTAATCATTATAAATAAAAAAATTAAATCTAAATTATATGAATTAAATTATAAATTAATGTGGATATCTTTTCACAAACCATATTTAAAATAAATTATAAATAAAATTTGTTTTTTTAAATATTATAATTCAATTATATATTAATCAAAGAAATTATTGATATACGTAAAAAGGATTTATAGGCTGCGTTTCAATATTCACTGCCTGCAGTACTGAAAATAGCTTACGTCACGTATACTTAATGTATGCGTAAACGCAGTTTTAATAGATTTACATAATGGTGTTTCTTTCGTTTAACAGACCTGAGCACGTAGCAATCGCTATCGTGGAACTGATCGAAAAAGGAGGGAATGGCGCAATCTTTGTCAGCGAAAACAATCAGCCTGCTTACGCCGTGCAATTACCGTCCTATACCGATTTGAAGATTTCGGTGTAAAACCTGCAATCTATGGCAAATCATTCTTATTACACGAACACCGGCATCTCGATACTTCCACAATTTTCATAAATAAATATATGATTCAAACAAAAAAAAAAAAATAGATTTTGTGGTTTTGCAGCGTTGCAAAAAATTGCCGACCATCAAGTTTATTTTTTTACTTACACTGCATTACAATTCGTTTGGGCTTAAAATTCATTTATTAAATTTATATTTTATGCACATGTAAAGAGTCGAGAAACCACGACTTTGAATTATTTATTTCGATGAACGTATGTACCTAATACACGATGCACTTGTGTTATAAAAAAAAACATAGAACTGTTAAAAGGGTTTATTTGTGTTTCTGAAAAGTTGACATCGAGATCGATTCTTACTGCTTGTATTTTCTCGAAACTCGAATTATATAAAAGTATTTAACAGTAAAAATTTATAATAACTAATTAAATATTGAAATTTCTAATAATGGCAAAGTACAGCAGCTAATAATGTATCCATTATTACTTCATAGAATAAATAGACTAGCGATAATAATAATGACACTTTTTTAGATTGTAGTTTCTTTTAACAAGATGAATGATACATAGAATGCTAAAATAAAATGTGATGTACCTAATACATACCGTGACGATTTTCATCATTTATCATTAAATCCAAAGGCTTTTATCAAATTCGAAGTTTATTGTGTGTGTGTGTGTGTGTGTGTGTGTGTGTGCGTGTGCGTGTGCGTGTGCGTGTGCGTGTGCGTGTGCGTGTGCGTGTG